AAAACTGTTTACCACAAAAACCAAAGGAATTGAAATTCCTTAAAATCAAGGAAAAACCAATCACATGGGAAAAACCAAGAAAAGTAATTCCAGGTGAAAAAAAAGCTTATCAAACAAAACAAAAAGTTGGAATTGGAAAAAAGTTTCCATTTTCCATGGAAAAAGCAACGTATCAAACAAGCCCTAAAAAAACGCACAATAATAAATTCCAACTTAAATGAAGATGACATGCTCTTTGGAGAATTCTTCTTCAGACAAGAAGTTAAAAAGTGGGGACACAATCAACCTATTGTATTTGATAAAGATGGCTTTTCGGAGGGACTAAATATCAAATATATTGTTTATAGGAAGATTAGACCGACTTGTGATTAAAGTCGATGAGAAAATTGAAATATTCTTAGTTGAGTTTGAATTAAGCAATTTAGGCAAAGTCATACCGTATTCAAAATGACAAAGTACGATTTTGAAGGACGTGAAAAATATAGAACAAAGTCAAATTGAGCGACCTAAACAAGACCTCCAAAGTCATATTCAAAGTGACATGAAACACTTACGCTAAAATCTAGCTAAAAGCTTTAGATTAAGCGATTATTAGGAGATAACCTAATTTCTTACATTTTTGTTTATTATACTTTTTGTATTTACATTGCATATAATCTATTAGGTGATGGCATCCCGAAGTATCGTGTGTGATCACAACAGTTACTGAACTTCATTTTATCCATTTTGGCCCCCCAATCACAGTTTTAGTTCTTTTCATGTCCTCAAATATTGCATAGAAGGTTCTCCAACTTTAATCTATTAGGTGATCGCATCCCGAAGTATCATGTGTGATCGCCTTCTTATGTGTATGAGCATCTTTTCATTTTCTTGATTTCTATTACTTCTCAAATGTCTATAATAAATGAGTGAGAGAGGAAAAATTTGAATCTATACGAAAAGAATTCCAACAAATTAATGAATGATTTTTTTTTTTTTACCATGAACACAATATGTTTCATCAAATTTTCGAGCGTCATAATTTGCACGTTAATTTGTGACCAAATTCTTATCTATCAAACATCGAGAAAATTAATCATCAACTACTGAAAAAAAATCTGGATCCAATTATCGATTAGAAACAAATAAAAATAATAATTCTCGAGTAAATGATTGAGGTTGCAAAAATTAAAAATAA